GTTTCTTCTCCTCCCTCCTCTCTCTCTCTCTCTTCAAAGGAAGGAACTACTTCTCTCCCCACGTCATTCTGCAACTATCCACTTCGTCTTCCCGTGGCTTGTTTTGAGAAGAACAAGGGAGCCGCTCAACGGCCGATTGACGCCGTTGGCCCACTCCGCGATAATTTCCGCCGCGGTTCCAAGCGGCGTCCACGAACTCGTGTCGGTGTCAGGCATCGCCTGCCTGTTTGCGGGGGTGGCGAGAATTGTGGGAAGAAGAGCCAGCACGCACGCCCCCTCCGGTAGCTGTTGCGGGCCAGCAGCGAGAGACTTCGTCAAGTGGTGCACACCCGCCTTCGCCGCCCCGTAACCCAACATGCCAGGAGTTGGGCGGAGGGCCGCGGCCGCCCCTGGCAGTAGCAGCAGACAGCTCTTGCCGCCGCGCTGGGAAGCCACGTGGGCAGCAGCCATGGAGGAAAACAAAGTCTGACGAATCATGGACTCCATTGCACAGCAGGAGGCACTGTCGGCGGCACCACCGCCTGCCCACCCCCCGGCAACGTTGATTACGGCATTCAGCACCGCACCACTCGCAACGGCGCCGAGTATGACGCCCTGTTGGGTCTCCGCGGAATCCGCCGCGTTCAAAACGACGTGTGCGTAGGAGTTTGTTGGAGAATTCTTTGGGACGACGTCCACCCCAACTACGCTCCACTGCCGTTCTAGCAGTGCATTGGTTACGGCCTGCCCAAGTGCACCGCATGCACCCAATACCAATCCGCGCCTTGGAAGCATCCCCACCCTTCCAATTAAAGAAGAACATAATAAAAAAAAGGAAAGAAAAGAAACGCAGCGGGATATTTTTCGTTATAAATAACAGTCGAAATATAGAGCAACAGCACATAAAGCTTCAGCGGCACATGTGAATCAAGATATATATATATATATATATATATATATATACGCTGCAACGGTATGTGTTTTCCGTGTTTTGGTTTAAGACACATAACAAACACGCCTACATTGAAGGGGGGAAAACAAACAAATGAAATTATATGTACGGCTATGGGTGACACTACGTCGCTGCCTATTTGGCAACGCAGCTACTACTAAGCTCTACCCCCCTCCCTCACCTCACCCCACACACACAGAGAGAGAGAGCAAAAAAAAAACCCAATAACTAAAGGCTCCCCATGCTCCGCAAAAAGAGACAAAGAAGTAATCATGGCTATAGCAAGATGAAACACAAGAGAAAAAAAAACACACACACCGACAACGAAGCAGCGCAACCCCAATATCCACTATCAAATTCCTACTACAGACGTGTGGTCTACCTACGGTCCGGCTGGATGTCACTATCAAATGTCTCCCCCTCTAGAATCATGAGCTCCTGGGCCTCACGCCGCAGTCGCATGCGGCGAAGCGCCTCTTCGCGGGCCCAATCCATGCGACTATTCAGCTTCGAGTAGTATGCCCAGATGGCGAACTCCACGCCTACGATGCCAATGGAGATATGCCATATTTTCTCCCACAAGGGCCAATCGTCCCACTGGTAGCGGAACGTCGCCCGCGGGGTGTACGGGTACGGGTCGCCGTCGCCCCATGCGAGGCGGCGAAACTTGGAGCGGCGAAAGGCCGCCCTGGCCATTTTTTGGTTCCACCCTGTCATTCCCACGGCCACAGTCGCCGTTCTTAGCGGGAATAGTGTCGGAGCCAATAAGGGGCAGAATGGAGAAAAACGGGCACGTATAAAAGGCAGGAAAGAGAGGAAAACTAAAAAGCAAAAGAGTGAGGGAGAAAACAACAACTATTTCTCCTCCGGGGGGTGGCATCTTCCCGCAAAGAGGGGCGTTCCGCATCTAAGTATATTACGCAGGCAGAGAGGAGTAGGTAAATAAATAAAAATGGCGATCCTATATTTTTGTTTCTTCGTTGGTTTTGCCTTCTCGTTTGTTGGTTTTCTCGCAGTTGTGTGTCTGGCAGGGAACGTCCCCGGCACTCCACACACACACACACACGCAAATTCTCTCGCTCCCTCCGCACAAAGAGAAGGAGATCATACAAATAAAACACGTAAGCTTAAAACAGAACGAGAAAACGGAAAAAAAAGAAAAAGAAAAAAGAAAAGAAAAAAGCGGTGTTGAAGAAACATTCTTCCTCTAGGCTCGATTCACAAGACCAGCTGACTCCGCGCCCAAAAGGGCAATTTTGCATACCGGGCACACCGTCCCTTTGTGTTTCGGATGGGCAGCAGAGTGGCAGTAGCTGCAGCGTATTGGATCAATTGTTCCCCGGTACATTGGACGATGTGAGACAGAGCAGAGGAAAAAGGGATTGCGTTCATCATAGTCTAGCGTCCACGCGTCTGTCGGGTTTCGCTCCCCCTCTGCCACAATTGCCGATGCCTGTTTCGCCTTTACCTTTGGGGGGTCCTGATCGAGCAGTCGCCTGGCCACCGCCGCGGCGGTTTTAATGTTTTTCAGCTTGTACGCCTTGCTCATGGCCTGGGAGAGAGCCAGGGTGAGGTGCGAGCGCTGCAGCTTGAAGTGTGTAAAGTAGAGGGAGAGTTCTAGAGCCTCTTTGGAGCTCCCGTCAAGGCTGCGGCAGTGAAGTTGTACGCCGAGCGCACGCGCGTATTCAGAGGCAATTGTCATGAGCTCAAGCAGAGCTGCACGCTGCTTCTCCTCCTTGATTGTGGCAAACACGGCTTGGTGCATGATCCCCAGAAACTGGATCTGAGCCTCCGCAAAGCGCCCCTCCACAAACGCCCCGTATCCGGCCCGAAGTTTCTCCGTCAGCGCCGGAATGTACTCCGGCAGCAGAGGCGCGTGGCGGGAGCCCCGATGCTCGTCCGGCGGGCACGTGGCCAGGGGAAACACCACCGACGGAACGACGCACAGCGGTCGCGAGGCGTTCACAGAGGCCCAGAGGTCCATCACGTACGGCTTCAGTGGCTCCGGGTCACACAAACCGATTTGGCGTCGCAGCAAATCAAAGGCCGTCGAAAACGACCCCGCCGCCACGTGGAATGCCGGAAGGGAGTACGCCTCTACCCAGTGCTGGGAAAGCGGAGGATGCTCCACTGGGACGACGTAGGCTCCCGGCTGTGCCGCGTCCGCCCCGTAGCCCGCCGGCATCTGCAGCTCAAGGTCATCGTCCCACCCCTCCCCCTCTACCTCCCTCTCCCCCCGCCCTTCACCCACGCCTGCAGCGTCGTCCGGGTTCTCGCCCTCGTCCTCGTCCCAGCCAGCGCCTGCGTGGCCCTCATCCTCGTCTTCTTCCTCCTCCTCCCCAAGCGCGGCCTGGACGCCGTTAAAATGCCCTGGCTCCTTTAACAGCCGCGCAAACACAGATTCCTCTACCTGCAGCATGGGCCAATTCTCAGTCACGGCGACGGGCGTGGGGAGTTCTGGCACACGGTGAACCTCAACCCTCAGCATGCGTTCAGATACCTCGGGGGCCATTTGAGCACAAAGCGCGGACGCCACATCATTGAGGCCGTTTGATTTTGCCGTCAGATAAGCAAGCGGGAGTTGGCCCGTCTTCGCTAGTATCTGAACGCGTTGCTGCACATCGCTAAGGTACAAGCCATAGTGTAACTTGAAGCTGTCATCGTTGGTTGTGTCAACTAGGTGACCCAGTGCCGCCATGTTTCCAGTAATCAAAGACAGCAATGCCCCACCGTGGTAATTCGACGTCTTTGTATTGGCAAACTGGGCCAGCTGAATGTCGCCATACGTTGTTGCCGCATCGGCCAAGCGTCTCCAAACGGAGGCCTGGTTAAGTTCGATGGCAGTTGCTTTGGCGATGTCCAACGCCCCACACTCTACCGCCAGGTTAAAACGTGTGAAGGGCTCTGTCACAAAATGCAGCGCGATTTCGGAGTGTCCATGTTTGTGCAGGTACCCCACGAGTGCTTGCCCTTGTAATTGTTTACGTTGAATAATTTTGATCACGTCGCGGTAGGCCTGCTGCTGCAGCTTCAATTTGAAGTTGAGCTCCATGTTATCCAGCTCCTGCATCACCACCTTTCCCTCACGTGTGAGCATCCAAATGGTGTCGCCGCTTGCCCGCACAAGATACGCTGGGGCCCGCATGGACTGAATTGTGCTGCACTCCCCCGTGCGAAGGTTACAGTAATTTAGGTGATTGGCGGTGGTGTAGTAGAGAATATTGCGCTGCTCATCAAACGCCGCCGACTTCAGGCGCACCGTTGACACCATAATCGTTGTTATAAGTTTCAATCGCCTGGTCATGACGGTGATGGCGTTTTTAGCGATCAATGCCACCTTGTTGAAATCCTTGTCCCAGACGACGTACCGGATGCCGCTCACGGCCGCCTGCGCCGTCACGCTGTGCTGAGCCATGTGGAAAATCTCGATCCCCTCCTCCGTGAGGCACAAAACCGACCCCATTGGCCCCGGGAAGACGCGTTTGCAGCTGTGCTCCGGGGTGACCAGCTTGTCTCGGTCCCCTTGGCAGTTGCAGACGACCAGTTTCTTGTTCTTGTCCACGAGCACGTACTTGTTGGGGGCAAAGAACACGGCGTCTGTGACATTGAGGCGTTTTTTGACGTCCGCGTCGACGGCGTAGCCGGGCCTGGGGATTGTGAAGGCCTCGGCCATCCCGCCGTCGTTGTCGTACCACAGCACGGCCACGTTGTCCACGGGGTTGCAGGAGATGGTGCGCGGCGGGTAGAGGTGTGGGGCGAGGTTAAACTTGTACTCCGCCTCCGCCTCCAAGTCGCGGGAGCACAACGTGTTTTCGTAGACGTAGTGGAGCATCTTCCCGTGCAGCACCCACGCCGGCCGCTCGCGGAAAAGCTTAAACACCTGCAGCCCAGAGTCGTGGCCGGCGGCGATGAGGTTCTTTTCGGGGAGGGTCGCCAAAATCCAGTAGCGGTCCGCGTCGCGGCGGAACACCATGATCGCACTGCGGGACTTCACGTCCCACACGCGAATGCTGCGATCCTCGGAATTGGAGACGACAAAGTCTTTCATGTACGTTACGCAGCAGACATTATTGGTGTGCCCCCGCAGCTGCAGCTCCTCGTGGCAGGAGGACTCCATCATGCGCCAGACACGCACGCTTCGGTCGTCCGCCGCGGAGGCGATGTACGGCTTGGTGGGGTGGAAGCACACCCAGTTAACCCCCTTCTCGTGCCCCTCAAGCAGGTACTTGAGGGTCACGTCACTCGTGCCGAGCAGGTCTTGGGCGAGGCCCGCCTCCTGCTTGCGGAGCCGCAGCGAGGAGATGTCCCAGACGCGGATGGTTCTATCCAGGCTCGCCGAGACCACCAAGTCCTCCCGCGGGTGGAATTGGGCGCACATGACGTAGTGGTTGTGCCCAGGCAGGCAGGCAACGCTGCTGCGGCTCTGCCAGTTCCAAATCCGGACGGTGAAGTCGTCGGAGCAGGAGAGGATCCAGGGCTGCTCGTGGTGGAAAAACGTCACGCGGATGTAGTCCATGTGCCCCCGCAGCGTAAAGAGGCAGCGGCGCAGCTTGTAGTTCCACACCTTTATCAGGTAGTCATCGGCCCCGGAGACGAACAAGGGCTGGGAAACATGAAAATCAACGCCACGCACGGAGCCGCTGTGCTCCGTATACGTGTCAATCGAAGTGTTCGTGCGGTAATCCCAAATCTGCACCGTGCCATTGTGCAGGCCGCAAAGCACCCACGGGCGAAACTTGTGGAAGCTGATTCCCTTCACCCGACAGGACCGAACGTCAAACTTGGTAAGCATCCCTACAAATGTAACCTCTGGCATCCAGTAAGGCCAAGAGAGAAAAAAAAAAGAAAGAAAGTGAGAAAGCTAACATGACGGCGATGATGCACCGACAGGAATAGATGTATAAATGCATAAAAATAATAAAAATAAATAAATTAACGTTAAATGTGCAATGCAGAGTAGCACAAGCGATACCCAGTCATCGGTGTTTGTGCTTTCCCTCCCTCCCTCCCTCCCTCTCTCTCTCTTTCTCTCCGTCTGTGTCTCTCCTTTGGTGTTGCTGCCTTGTGTGTGTATGCTTGCCCTGTGTATGTTCTTTTTTTTTTTGCTCGTCGGCGGCGTTTGCGTTCTTTTTTCTTTTATTTGCGCCTACGCTTCGAACAGAAACTCACAGCTGTCCGCATACACCTGCCTCACGTTTACGTTAATCCGCATGTGCAGCATCTGTGCCCGCCAGTAGGCGTCACCGTCGTCGACGTCCTCGCCGTCCCGCGCCAACCGCGTCGCAGGCTGCGCGCCGTCGCGTCCCTCGGGGCGCGGGCGCAGGTGCGGCGGGCAGTCGTCCATGATGCGCGGGACGGAGTGGAACGCGACCCGCGCGGGCCCGGAGAACACCGCCACGTCGCCGCTGCGCAGCAAAAAGGCGTAGGGCGCCTCCTCCCGTGAGTCGGTCCCCATGAGGAAGACGCAGGAGCACCCCAGCGAGATGCTGATCAGGGGCCACCGCATCGACTCCTCGCTCACGTCCTGGTGGGCCATCATCATCGACCCGACCGGAAAGTAGTTCACAATCGCCGTCTGGGGCTCGTAGGCGGACACGCCGGCGGCGTCGAGCCCCGCGGCGGAGCCGCACAGGCGCAGGATTTCCTCTATGCGCCGCCTCAGCGCCGATGGAAAGGGCGAGTAGCGCCCGCGGCTGTACGTCTTGGTGGTCCAGTCGTAGCTGAAGCCGAGCGTCGCCCACCGCATCGGCGCCTCGTACCGCGTCGTGCTCCTTGGCGCCGTTGCGTGCGTTGAGAGGTGGTTGGGGTGTTGCCTGGAGTCGCCGTACTTCAGCACCGCATCCCGACAGAGCGCCTGCTGCTCCTCCGCCGGGATGCACTCGGGGAAGAGCAGCAGCCCGGGCACGGCGGTGAACGCAAAGCACCGCGCCTGCGAGTCGCCGCCGGTTTGGACGCTGCGGAGGAGCGAGCGATTGCGCTGCGTGTTTGCGTCGGGGCGCCGCACATCCACCACGTCGCTGAAGTCCGTCTCAGGCGCCGGCTGGCGCCGCGCGGCACGTCGGTCAAGGCGGTACAACTTGTAGCGCTTCTCCGCCAGCCTGAACGGCGTCAGTGCGAGACTCTCAGCAGCCGTGTACTGCGGCGAGGCGGACTCCTGCTGCATCGCCGCTTTCACCTACGCCCCCACGCAGCAGAGAGAGAAAAAAGAAAAAAAGAAAAAAAACACCTCCACACACACGCACCCAAGACAACAACACAGAGGAACAGCAGCGCACGGCACACAAACGACCGCGCCCATACGACAGCCGTGGATAGGACGCAAGGCGCTCCCCTCCCCACGGACTCAGAGGCAACTGTGCGGCGTCGTAGCGAGGGCGACAAACGGCACCAAGCAAGTCAAAGCCACTTCTCTCCTGTGCGAGCAGCTTCCATGCGAAGAGCGTAAATGCAATAATACTTTTAAGCATAAAACAAAAAAAATTTACTCTCTCACCACCACGCACAGCTCTTCCTTCGTGCCCACGCACACTCCACGCCACTACTTACAAGCAGCCTGTTCCCCCGTACACCATGCGATGTCAGCGAGGGTGACATGCTTGCGTATAAGTGAGGGGCATAAGCAAAGTAGCAAAGCAGACACACAAAAGGGCTGTCTCTGCCCAATGTTCCCAAGCATGGAAAACTAGAAGAAACTGCTGAGGAGGAGATAGGCCCACAAGACCAAAGTAACCGCCATGTACGGTAAAGTGGTGAGTCCGCCACATTGCCGATTCGTGTCATTCTCCTCCTCAGAGCCGGGCACGAAAGTCCAGCACGTGCACGGCAGCACCTTCCCAGCGATGCAGAGTCCCCAACCAGCAGTGCTTTTACACTGCTTCCTTGACCGAACTCTCCTGCATTTCACTCTCGGCACTGGCGAGGTCCAGCAGCGCCGTCCCTGCCAAAGTGGGGGACCGCATGTGGCGAAAAACACCGCTCGCCGTCATTCGTAGCGCCGGGTCCCGCCTCCGCTGCAGCGAATGCATCCCCCGGCAAAGCCAAAACCAGTAAACGGCGCCCATTAGGGTTGTGAACAGCGCCCCGTAGCAGAACAAGAAGAAGAGGATAAACGTGACAAGTCTCAGTTTTGAAGCCAGCCACCACTCCCTCGTCAGCAGCAGCAGCAGGCCTTCACGAAATGGGCGATGCTGAAATGCCTGCTTTAACGACGAGACGACGCTGACTCCGGAAACCCCAACAAACAACCACAAGAGGAAACCACCACTCGCCAAGAGGGATATGAAAAACCCAAAGTTACGTTCCCCAACGCACACCCCTAGAATGCCACAGTGGTGATCGTAGCCCCTCACGTAAAGCTGGCACACCGGACACCGATGGACGTCCTCAGCCTCAGCGTCGTCGGTAAACCCGGGGTCGCAGAGAAACAAGTTGACCATCGTCCATTCGCTCAGCACGGCAAGTATGAGAGCAACACATGTGAGTAGCAGCAGGGTGCTGTACGACACCAATTCCAACATCAATGGACTGAAAACCAGCACTGGGAGGCACACCACAGTACCTATAGGGATGAGAAGGATAAAAAATACGCCTGGTGGAAAGTCCCGAGCAACGTTGAAGCAGCCGAAAAGAACGGTCCGTCGAGCCAGTCCACGCATAGCTAGCCCTTGTATTCCCTAGCTTTGCACAACGCAGCGGAGGGGAAAAAAGGAAAGAGGACGGGACAACATGTCTTCGGGCGGGGAAGAAAGGGAAAGATGTGAGGAATGAAAGGTAAGAAGCAACCAGAGCAGCCAACACGCATGCACACACGCTCCCGTTCCCACTCGCTCTCTCAACCCCTCAATTCAACAGATGTATTGTTCCTCTCTCGCTTCTTTGTCCAGATGAGAGTGCCGCAAGTAAGCACACTCAAAGTGTTTAACATTAACGTATTTCCTTTTTAATCATGGGAGTTCTCGTTAGTAACCACGACCACGACCGCGACCGCCGCCGCCGAAGCCGCCGCGACCACCGCGACTGCCGCCGAAGTTGCCGCGACCACCACCGCCGCCGCCGCCGAAGTTACCGCGACCACCACCGCCGCCGCCGAAGCCGCCGCCGAAGTTACCGCGACCACCGA